AAGAAACTAGAACACCAGAAGGAACAGACCATGAAGCCAACAGTACACAAACTTCCCCCAGGGCCCTTTCCTGTGGACCCCCTGCACTCCAGAGTTTGCAAAGCTGCCGAATTCCAGGTTGGAGAGGAAAAGCAGGAAAACACAGATAACTTTGAAAAGAAAGTGCCAATACTTCAATCAGTGCTTGAGACCACTTGACAAACACCTTTTCCAAATATACAGTTGATAAACAGGGGTGTAGATAAGCCATGAAAGCATCCCTTTAATAATGATGAGTCATTATATACAGTCTTCTATTTTAATCAGAAAGAAACACCCTTTTTACAAATTGAAATACCTAAACAGGGGTCTTTAATTACTTTTGGGACAGAGACTCCTTCCAGACTCTATTGATAGCTGGGAACTTTGTCTACCGATAACTATGTTACCTATTCTTAATAAATATCTAAATAGGAACTCATTTCAATCTTGGAGAGACTCCTGTCTCTTTGTTTCTCCATCTGGTCTAAACCCCATACATTTTGAGGCATCATGCCACTCAAAAATACTCTTTTCACAAATTTAGCATTCCATTTCAGAGTTTACTAACTTAAGTCTTTGCCCACCATCAAGCCCATCTCTATATGAGATCTCTATTGTCTTGTGGACTCGTGTTAATAGCTTATGAAACACTGCACTTAGAAAGCTTTAAGACTTTGGGAAAGAGCATAACAATCTTAATATATCATGAGTTTCATATCAGGTTTCATATCACTGATGATGTGATATACAATTTTTAAATCAATTCTCCAATTGTTTTAACTATAGTAAGATCACTTCATGAAACATAACATCTTAATAGACTTTTTTCCAGTGCCCAGATTCCTCCTGCATAATAGGCAAGCACCCTTCCACTAAACTGTACCACAGCCCTAGGCCTTTAACAGATTTTTAAGTGGACAACACAATATTGTTAACCACACGCACAATGTTATACAACAGATACCTAGAACTTATCCAGTTTTCATTTTGCCTGAAACTTATACCACTGATTAGTAACTTCCCATTTTTCCCTCTCCCAGACCCTGGAAAATATTCTACTCCTCTGCTTCTGTGARTTGAATGACTTTAGATACTTCATAAGTAGAATGATCAGCATTTGTCCTTCTGTGACTGGCTTCTCTCAGTTCTTTCATCCATATGATTGCACTTTGCAGAATTTATTTTGCCAGCTGAATAATATTCCATTGTACATATGCCACATTTTCTTTATCTGTTCTTTCATTAATGGACATTTAGGTGAGAGTCCCATATTGGCCATTGTAAATAAGGCTGCAAAGTACATGGCACTGCTAGTATCTGCCAGAGAGCCTGATTTCAATAGTTTTGGACAAATATCCAGAAGTGTGATTAATGGGTCACACAATCACTCTATTTTTAATTTTCTGAGGATCCTCCGTATTCTTTTTACTGTGGCTAATTTATATTTCCAACAATACTGTTTAAGGTTTGCTTTTCTCCATATCCTCATCAACATCTTTCTTTGATTTTGTTGCCATTTCATCTTTTGATTTYAGCTGACCTAAGAGATTCATGGTGATATGTCACTGTGGTGTTTATTTGCATTTTCCTTATGACTAGTGATGTTGAGAACCTTTTAATATCCTTACTGGCCATTTTTATGTGTTGTTTGAAAAAAATGTCTATTCAGATCCTTTGCCCAATTTTTAAAAATTGGGTTATTTATTATTTATTTATTTTTACTTTTGTATGAGTTCCCAATTCTCTTTGGTTTGGTTTAGTTTTTGTTTGTATTGTAGTGCTGGAGCTAGAACCCAGGGCTTCACACATGCTAGCACATATTCTACCACCAAACTACATCCCTAGCCCATGTTACCAATTCTTAATAAATATCTAAATAGGAACTCATTTCAATCTTGGAGACTCCTGTCTCTTTGTTTCTCCATCTGGTCTAAACCCCATACATTTTGAGGCATGTCACTCAAAAATACTCTGCATAAAGAAAGCAGAGAGAATTTGTACAAAAAGACAAGACAAAAATAAATCAGTTGTGCTCTGGGCAATTCTGATAATCAGGGTGTTCATTTACTCAGTTAACAAACTCAGTTTTGACTGTGAGTCTGAGAGGTGAGATGCAAGATGTTTGAAAAAGACCAGTCCCTCTCCTCAAAGAAGAGTCCTACCTATTGCAGTGCTTGGGGAAATGTTTCAGAAAGCCTRTAATGGAGTAGCGGGTGCTAAGAAGACAGCCTCAAGACATCTTTTCTGCTTTGGGAAGTGGAGAAATTGACCTTTATGGAGGCCAAGTGAGGCTTATCCAGGGCAGGAAGAAATAGTAGTGACCATCTTCCCAAGGGAATAGGGCACTCTAGTAAAAGAACAGTGAGAAGTGTAGTATAATTGGAGCAGACTGTGTATTACTAGAAGGAAAAGAGGCAGCAACAAACTCAAAAAGGATGAATCAATTGAACAGTTTATCCTTCGCCCCATAATTCTGCAAGCTAGCTTAAAATATCCAACAAAAGTCTTAATAGGAAAAGAAATAGGAATACCTAGATGGAATTAAATAAATATCAACGTAGCAGTTTATGCCTATCCTTTGCTACTGGATAGATATTCCACATTTTAAAAATAGTGCTCATTTAATAGGAGGTAATCACCAGGCTGAGGGCTCTACATTCACTTAACTTTCTCAGCACCTCTATGCAGCAGACACTACTAATTCCACTTATGGATTATGGAACACATATTAAGGAGAAAGCAATACTAGAGGGAAAAGTGATCCTATCCATCTTAATGATATTCTTCAATGCCATATGCCATGCTGTCATAGTGAGCTCAACAGGGACTTATGAGTGGATGTTTTTATTTCTTTGGGTTCGTCTTTGCCTGAGCTATGAAAGTCCAGATTCTGTGAAGTCAACCAGAGGGTTTGTGCTTATAGTAGTGAGTGACAAACTTGGGTAGTAAGGGTCGCAGGTCACCATTCCAGTTACACTGCCCCCACTGAGTCCCAGAACAGTGACCCCTGGTAGCAATATGGGGTGAGTATGCAGGGAGCTAAGACCGCCCCTTCAGAACTATCCCATTTCAATACAGACATAGTTATAAGGACAAATTATGCATTAAATATCACATACACACTGTAGAAAAATAACAAATCTTTTTTATTTTTTTTAAGTTGTAGAAGGACACAATACCTTTATTTTATTTGTTTATTTTTTCATGTGGTGCTAGAGATCTAACCCAGTGCCTCATGCATGCTTGGCAAGTGCTTTACCACTGATCCACAACCCGGGCCCTACAAATCTATTTTTAAAGACGTTAGCTACTAAATCTTTAGCACCCTCAGTGATTTCTGATGTCACCTTGCCAACTTTCAATTTAATAGTTTCTTGAAATAAAAGCTCATATGAATGTTCTGGAACATGAGTGCCTGATAATAACCCCTGTGCCACCATCATCAAATCCTGCTAAATAGCCAATCCATAGCCATCAATGAAATCTTTACTTTCTCTACAAAGGAACAAGAAGAAGAAGTGCCACAATCACACTTCAGCAGAATGAACCAAAGAATCTAAATATTTACAAAAAATGCCCTGGATTTTTCTAGATTTTTCTTTCAGGCTTCTTGGAACAGGTTATCTCTCTGACACTTTGTTGGGGCGCTCGGTGGTGTATTCAGGGCCTCCTGTCAACCCCGCTGTCCTTTGGTGTGAGCTGTACTCACACACCCCTGTAGCTCCGAGCACTCTGTGTGATTAATAGCCCTGCCAGCAATTCCTATTTAAAAACTATTCCTACTTTATGTCTTTTTTTCTACTTGTCCCTGATCTTTTCTGAACCTTATTTTTCCCCTCAATAGAAATTACCAACTGTCAAGAGTTTTCTCCCCACTCCAAATCCTGGTAACTTTACTCCATAGTGTTTTGCTTTAGGGGAGCTTTTGTTAAATATACAATAGGGCAAAGCCTATTAGAATTAAACAAGTAACTGGTCCAAATGGTTCTACACATGTTAATATTCTGCCAGGACCTCTTTCCCTCTACTTACCCTCCCCCTAATCCAAACCCAATTTTAAGACAGAAAGAAAGAAAGCATTCAGACCACCAAATGGTATGCCACCTCATGCCAAGCAATAAGTTACTTCCTGGTGCAGCTTGTGAACTGGATGTGTAAGTTGCATTTTCGAAATTATTCTGTCAGCCCCTTGACAATTTAACTTATTTATTTATTTGTCCAGTTCCTCGACTCTGTGTGGGTAGCAATGTCTCATCAATATCTCATTCAGGTGTAGCATGGAAAAGCCTAACAACCCTGGGCCAGCAGCCAAGCTTACCAGTGACTGACGCTCGCTTAACTGAGCAAAGATTTGCTCTGCACAGAGTGGGGCTTGACTGTACAAGAACCACTAGTGACAGCGAAGATGCCGGCTAGAATCCTAACAAAGCTACTTCCAACTTGTGCTCAGGCAAGTGGAACCAGCACTTAAACTGAATGCTAAGGGGCTTCAATCTTGGTACTTTTTTTTTTTTTTTTTTGTTTCCCAATCATTTAACTTCTGAATAAACCCTGGGATTTTAGAGGAAAAACAGCACATTAGCACACTTACATCACAAATCCTTGTACCATTTAAAAAAGGCTGTTGAAGATTTATTAACTTGTAGAAGCAATCATTTAATTGCTTGCTTCTGCTACACCACACACTATTTTTTTTTTAAATGACCAAATTAAACCTGCCGCACAAATTTGTGCTTTGAAGTTCCTGCAAAAGGATCATTCCTTTGAGGGAGTGATAAAAAGAATTGAAATGCTCTCCTTTGGTACAAATGTCAGCATACCTCCCTTGCCCCACCCGAGATGCCTTCATATACAGAAGCAAATCATTCTCCTTTAAATGTTTCTAATTCATTTTCCAAGCCAGGTCCGAATTTCCCTCTGCAATTTCAATGAAAGCCCATAAGCATTTACAAATGGAGAAACATCAACATCGTACTTACAATTTTGGGATGTGTAATGCAGCTGTGTATCTTATCAAAAAAACTGTTATGTTTATTTTTGCTGTCCTTCCTGTTCAAAGACAACACCACTCTTGGCATAGCTGAAGAAACTAGTGAGAAACCGAGTCCTTTCCACACCACGAACATGTGGACACTATCCTTTGAAATGGAGCTGCAGAAGCAGTTAGCAGGTCTGTTGTTTGACACTTTGTCTCCTAGATCAAATTCAGCCCAAAGCCATCAAGATGATTTACCATCTAAACTCAGTGAATTTGGTGATATGCAACTGCAGAATCAAATATGTAGACTAAATTCCCACATCACAGGTAAAAACAGTATAGACATAAGTCGGTATACACAACAGGCCCCYGGTTAGCACAGTGGTTCAGTTAGCTAGAAAGATTCCCAAGCTGCATGTAGATAACTAGACAATGTCAGAGTCACAGGGGCAATGCATCTGGGTTTTTAAAGTGCTGGATGCCTCGTGCTGGGATAGGAGTTCTGTTCCATTGCATCAGATGCCCCGTAACACGATATCATCAACCTGTGTGAGCATCAGAAATCCAGGCGGGTCACAAGCGAAAGTCTCTCCACTGCCAATTGAGATTGGCATGTGCTGCTGTCATAAAGATCACGCTGTCCAATTGGCTAAATCGGTGGTCTAGAGAATAAGCCAAGGTACAGTCTGTCAAAGTGAAAGTCCTGTGCAGTGCTCAAGTTAGGTTTTCATAATGTCAGTTTGATGAACCCCTGAGGGTTAAAACATTGCTTTGTAATTGGGGGGGGAAAAGGAATTTTTTTCCTTTAAGTATTTGGTTTTGCTTTGGCTTATTTGTTTTGTTTCAGTTTTTGTTTTGTTTTTTAAGGCATTTATGCCCAGAATACTGCAAAGAGGACAGAAGTAGGGCTTCTCCAGCAGGGACAGAAGAACGGATGGGTTTTGAAGGAGACAGGTGACTGGAAGATTGCTCTAACTCCCTCGGAACCTAAACCTGGTTAGCTGGGAAACAGCTCTTCTTCGAAGCCATCCTCTCTTTCCTCTGTGGGACTTGGAACCTGGATGCTATAATTGAAAGCCAGTGTATTAAGCATAACACATCAAACTACTGTTAACACCCAGCCTCCCGCAAGGCTGCCTCCTAACAGCTCTGTTTTCTGCCTACCGTATGTGCAAGCAAGTGGAACCATCACACGCACTGCATGCTAAAGGCCGCAGCCTTTGTCTTCTCCAAGTTCTGTCTATTTCAGAGGCTAACATGCAGCAATTAGTCTAATTAATGTGAAACAATGAGCTGTGTTACCACTTATCAAATTGATTGTTCCCCTATCAAAACAAAACAGGCTGGCTTTTTGATGTAATTTCAAGAGATGATTTGAAATGTCATGTTGCTGCAAGCCAATTACCGTATGACTAGAGTCACGGTCAACAGAATACATAATTAGCATGAGTTTGGGAAGGCTGCTTACTGCTAGTATGTTAATTAACTGTCTTTTGTCATAAAACAAAAAGGTTGTATGGAAGATTTTGAAATAGGTCTTTTTTATTTACATTTCTTTGTGCTTATCAACATGAGGCATGACAATGCAAAAGAAYAGAAAAATTTAATTCCACTACTTCAAATTAATACTCAGCTGCAAGGTCAGGCAGAATGTGCAGGCTGCAGTACCATTCACCTCCTCCTCGTTTTGCCCTAGTGTATTACATTACTTGAGGAGTTAAATTAAGTATAGAGTAAAACTGGAATGTAAGAAATACTGAGCTCCAACAAACAAATCCCCTAATGCTCTTCTTTCAGGCTTCCGATGCTTTTGTGCAACTCTGGAGAGCTGGTCAGCACTCAGCTACCCTGGCAATTACATTCAGGTGTTGTTTTTCTATTTCAATCTTGAAATTTGGAGAGAATAAACCCATCATCAAATGATGTTATTGCCTTTACCTATCTATGGTGGAGAAGGAATGCATAATGGGCACCTGTGGGCTTATAAAGGAATCCTATCTGTGAGGCCAGGGCTCCTGTGCAGCTCCCTCTTCTATGTGATAGCCATGCAATTCTGCACTCTTGATTAAGGGACCAATTCTGTATTGTTGAGCTTTAATGCATTCTGGGGACAACTATAATCTGAAGTCAACAAATTAACAATCAAGTTCAYGGTAGCCTTGAGCCACAGTTCAACATGTGTGTATTAGTAAACTAGCTGCTGCTTTGGAAAACAAGCCAGAAGTTTCCAAAATTCTAATATTAATGTTCCACTGTCTATAGCATTGTTTCATTTGTAGAAGCAGGTGGGCAGGACTCCGGGGCATGCCACAACTCTCCATGAAATRTATTGCCATTTTGGGAGTGCTCAAAAACTCTTTTCTTCCATTTTTTTTTTTTCTCAGAATATGGTTCAGGTCTTACAGTTATGTCAGAGTAGTCCTCTGGAGTCAGAAAAAACACCTTGCTATCAGAAAAGTATCAAATTTAGTTTACAAAGTGGACWCTCTGTCCTACTTTGTTTCCATTTTTCAACATAGGTTTTGTTTTTTTCTTCTTCCTGTTTCTGAAGTCTCTAAAATTACTTAAATGTAAATTACTTAAAAATGTAACAGAAAAATATTAAATGGATAGGATGCAATGTTTTGTCTTTCAGAGCATGGATTTCTCATTTTGACAATGAAGGGTAAGGAAAGTTGGGGCACAGGCATTCACCTGAAGGTGCCTCTCAGTTGTGCTGGGTGGATCAGGACAATGAATTTCTAATGTCCATTTCATCCTTCTATGCAGCATCTCTCCTTTCTTCCAGAGGCACTTAACCTCTGAGTCACATCCCAGCCCTTTACACTTTTTATTTTGAGACAAGGTCTCAAAAGTTGCTGAGGGCCTCAGTAAGTTGCTGAGACTGGTTTTGATCTGGCTATCCTCTTGCCTCAGCCTCCTGAGCCACTGGGATTACAGGCATGTGCCACCATGCCTGGCATGATTCGAGTTTTCAAAGGAGGCAGATGGGTAAGAGAACCAAAATGAGGATGGCTACCTAAGTACGCCGGCTCACGAAGTCGTTATAACAGCTAATAATTGGTCAGTAATTTTGAGGTACCAGGTACAGCATAAGTTGCTAAATTTTAGACAAATCTCAAAGCCCAGATTTAGTGTGTGAGGTAGCTAGGCAACAAAAAATTTTACTAAGTTCATAGTTGATCACAAAGGCTCCAAATATTGGTACATTTTTATCATAGAATAAAAAGATCATAGGACCCTAAAGGTGAATAAAATCTTTAAAATGTACTGATCCAAGCTCCCTTCCAAYATGGAACTCCTTTGCACAGCCCTGATACATTAAAATCCTTCTACAGAGACCCTTTGGTAGAATTAGAGAAACATCTAATTAAGTCCAAAAAAGTTTTTGGATCCATGTCGATCAGGAAATTTAGAATTCTTGATGTTCGGGTGCTGTTATTGATCTAAAGATACAACATGGTTTATAGATTATGTGAGGTGTCTACGACCATTCCACCYTGTATACTACCATCTCATCTGATCTTGGTAGCTAAGCTGGACCTGGTCAGTACTTAGAAGGGAGATAACATAAGGTACCACAATCTCTGAGCTATGACTACTTAGCCTGAACTATAGACACTTGGATGAGCCTTGATTAAAAATCATCAATGAATCTATAATTTAAAAACTGGAGACTATYACATCAGGTTTAATAGCAATTGAGTGTTCAAGTTGAATTTGTAATTTTAGTTTTCAGAGATAGGTCCTTACCTACCATTTCTCAGTTCATAAAATAACAAGTTTCATGTCATTTAATTTTATAGAAAGATTTTTTTCTGGGCTGGGATTTTGGCTCAGCAGTAGAGTGCTCGCCTAGCATAGGCAGGACCCGGGTTCGATTCTCAGCACCACATAAAAATAAAGGCATTGTGTTGTGTCCATCTTTAAAAAAAAAAAAAGATATTCTCTCTCTCTCTCTCTCTCTCTCTCTCTCTCTCTCTTAAAATCTCTCTTAACAAAATGAAAATATATTATAAAAAAAGATTTTTTTTCTATTTTTTTTTCTTCTCAACTGGGAAGGAAAGAAGTTAGAAAGGAGGGAGGAAAGAAGGGCAAGAGGACTGTCAAGTGACCCTTAGTAATCAGAAGCTGTACTGGTTTACATGTCTATAATACTTACACCCCAGGCACTAGGCTAAATTTATATATTACCTAAGTTAACATAACTACCCTGCAAGGCAGGTAATATTTTCCAACTAYGTCTTTTTTTCTAGTGTTAGTAACACAATAAGACTCACACAGGATAATTAATTAAGTCAAAGCCCCACAACTAACTTGGACTCCAAAATTCTATCATTCAACCATACAGGGCTGATTGGTGTCTTTCCTTTTGTGGTTTTTCAGTCTGCATTGTTATACTACAAGAAAAGCACCTGAAAAGGCCCATATTCATCATCATTAGAAACAGAGCAAAATAAATTGGGAGCAATAACTAGCCCCATACAATAAAGTCACAGAACAAGTTGTATTCTGTAGTTTGAAGCCTTGTATAACAGGAATTAAAGGAATGCAGGTGATCGCTACATTTTTACGCTGAACCCAGAATGTTTTCTTGAAATTTAACAGAATCTTAAAGCAAAGCCCAGTGTTCAGAACACAGGATAGTTTGTTTTCCTTAAAAGCTAAAATTMCTCAGAAATATCCCTCTTTAGGCTTTAAACAAACCTGAATACCTCCTTGCAAAAAGCAAGAACTCAAAGAAAGCAAATTCATGGCCAGTGGATCTAACTAGGCATCCTGCACCAAAGCTCATGGGACAGTCACCTCTCCTGCACACAGTTACAGAAGCAAGATCTCTGTAAGGGCCAGGGGTGGCACAGTGGAGGAGTATGGAACAAGCAGTCCCTGCAAACACATTGTTAAAATGTCAGTCAGGCACTCGGCTTGCCTCCACCACCTTTCAGGGAGCTAAATATCTCTTTATGTCAGAACAAATTGGGCAGACCTCAAATCTTTTCTTCTTTTCTCTGACTTCAATGAGATGAGCGTGGGGAATGAGGAAGAGAGAGATGGAGATGGGAGGAAAGAGAAAGACAGTGCAGTTCACATGAAAGCACCGTGACACAGCTACATGCCTGCAAAGTGTTCCTGGGAAGCCTTGGTATCTTTTATGCCTGGTGACAGTGAAAACAGGGCAGCAAAAAGGGCCAGGTCACCCACTTTCTGGCATTCAGATCACCAGGGCTCGAATTCCTTCCCTACACTTTCACCAAACACTTCAAGGCATGCGTTGAAGTCTTTGTGCAAATGGCAGAAACCCCTGACCCTTTCTTCCATGCTGTTTCTGTCCCTCACGCACTTGGTCACAACCTGTATATCTATGCTTAGAGCAGGCAGGGTCATAACTGAGTCTTTA